TCATTGGCTCAGTTGTGAGGATTTTCATTTTCTTTACATTGAGGTGCAATCCATACTGAAGGTTATAGTCTTTGATCTTCAACAGAAAGTATTCTAAATCTCCTTTGCTTCCATCAAGCAATATTGTGTCGTCTGCATATTACAGGTTGTTAATGAGTCATTCTCCAATCCTGATGCCATGCTCTTCTTCATATAATCAAGATTCTCAAATTATTTGCTCAGTATACATATTGAATAACTATGGTGAAAGGATACAACCCTAATGTACACCTTTCCTGATTTTAAGCCAATTAGTAACCGTTTGTTATGTTCAAACAACTGCCTCTTGGTCTATGCAAATGTATGTCATGAACACAATCAAGTGTTCTGAAATTTCCATTCTTTACAATGTTATTCATAGTTTGCTATGATCCATATATTTGAATACCTTTGCATAGTCAAAAAAGTATAAGTAAACATCTTTCTGGTAGTCTCTGCTTACAGCAAAGATCCATTTGATGTCAGCAATGATACCCCTCATTGCAGGTCCTCTTTTGAATCCACATTTTAAAATTATCTTTTTAAAATTATATTCAGCAAAATTTTACTTGCATGTAATATTAACAATATTGTTCAATGATTTCTCCGCGTCGTTGGGTCACCTTTCTTTGGAATGGGTATAAATATGGATGTCTTCCAATCGGTTCATCACATTCCAAATTTCTTGGCATAGAAGAGTATAGGTTTCCTGCACTGCACCAGTTTATTGAAATATTTCAATTAGCTTTCTGTCAATTCTTGGCGCCTTGTTTTTCACCAATGCCTTCAGTATATTTTGGACTTCTTCCTTCAGTACCATTGGTTCTTGATCATATGCTACCTTTTGAAATGGCTGAACACTGGCCAACTCTTTTTGGTACAGTGACTCTGTATATTCCTTCCATCTTTTTTTGTGTATTTCTCCCATCTTCTTTTGATACTTCCTGCATCATTCAATATTTGCCTACAGAATCCTTCAATATTACAAGTTGAGTGTTGAATTTTTTTATTCAGTTCTTTCAGCTTGAAAAATGCCAAATATGTTCTTCGATTTTGGTTTTCTAACTCTACGTCTTTGCACATTTCATTATTAGACTTTGTCTACTCAAGTTGCCCTATGGCCCTTTGAAATTTTCTGTTTGATTCTTTTATTTCATCATTTCTTCTCATCACTTTAGCTTCTCTATGTTCAAGAGCAAGTTTGAGAGTCTCTTCTGACATACATTTTGGTCTTTTCTTTCTTTCCTATCTTTTTAATGACCTTTTGCTTTCTTCATGTTTGATACTCTTGATGTAATCCCACAACTTCTCTGGTCTTCTATCATTAGTATCAAATGCATCAAGTCTGTTCTTGAGACAGTCTCTAAATTCAGGTGAGATATACTCCATGTCATATTTTGGCTTTCAAGCACTTATTTTAATTTTCTTCAGTTCGGCCTGAATTGCATATGAGCAATTAACGATCTGTTCCACAGTTGGCCTCTAGCCTTGTTTTGGCTGATGATATTGAATTTCTCCATCATCTTGTCCCATAGATGTAGTCTATTTGATTCCTATTTATTCCATCTGGTGAGGTCCATTCATATAGTCCACCTTTTATGTTGTTGAAAAATGTATATGCAATGAATAAATTATTTGTCTTACAAAGTTCTATCATGTAATCTCCAGTGATATTTCCACCACTAAATCATAGTTTCCAACTACTTCACCTTCTTTTGGAGTCCTGGTATAGAGTTGTGGGCTAATTCACTGGACTGAAAAGTTAGTTTGAACCACAAAGTTGGTGGTTCAAGCTCACCAGCTGCTCTTTGGAAACCATATACAGGGTTCTTATGGGTCAGAACCAACTTGACAGCACTTCACAACAACAACAATTCTTGTTTCCAACTTTGCATTCCAATAACCCATAATTATCAATGCATATTGATTGCATGTTTGATCAATGCAGACTGAAGAAGTTGGGGGAATTCTTCAATTTGAACATCACTGGTTTTCGTAGTTGGTGTATAACTTTGAGTAATGGTGGTATTAAACGGTCTTCCTTGTATGCATTGGTGCTGTGGGAAAAAGCATTGGACTGCAAAGTTGGTTTGAACCACAAGGTCAGTGGTTCAAACTTACCAGTTGTTCCTTGGAAACCCTAGACAAAGTCGCTATGAGTCAGAACCAACTCAACGGCACTTAACAACAACTTGTATGCATATGGATATTATCCTATCACAGACAGTATTGTACTTCAAGTTAAATTTTGAGACGTTCTTTTTGACTATGAAAGTGATGCCATTCCTTTTCCAGTTGTTGTTCCTGGCATAGTAAAACACATGATTATCAGATTCAAAATGGCTGATACCAGTCTATTTCAGTTCACTAATGCCTAGAATATTGATATTTATCCATTCCATTTTATTTTTGATGACTTCCAACTTTCCTATATTCATACTTCATACAGTCCATGTTTCGATTATTAATGGATGTTGGCAGTTATTTCTTCTCATTTTGAGTAGTGCCCCATAAGCAAATGAAGGTCTCAAAAGCTTAGCTCTATCAATCGCATTAAGATCAACCCTACTCTGAGGAGGCAGCACTTCCCTAGCTATTTTAAGTTCTTTCCAAGCCGAAGGATTCATCTTTGGCACTGTATCAGATAATATTTTGCTGTTATTTATAAGATTTTCAATGGCTAACTTTTAGAAGTGGTTAGCCTCACCTTCTTCCTAGTCTTTCTTAGTCTGAAAGATACACTGAAACCTGTCCATCGTGGTTGACCCCGTTGATATTTAAAATATTGGTGGCATAGCTTCTAGCATCAAGGCAACACACAAGCCACCACAGTACAACAAACTGACAGACAAGTAAGTAGTGGGGTGTTTTGACTTAGAACTTACTGTGTGACATACACTAAACTAAGTATTTCATATTCATTCTCATTTTAATATTCAAAATAACCCAGTAACATGAGTACTGTTATTATCCCACATCTTGGTGATGTGAAGTGACTTACCCAAGGTCTCAAGCTGGTAGGTGGCACAGCTGTAATATAAACCCATGCTTGTCTGATTCTGGAGTCTGGATGCTTATAAGTATATACCAAGTAGAATTGTAATGTGGCTTACAGAGTGTCATGGCTTATTCTCACCATGTGTGTGTGAAAGAGACAAAAATCAACCACCAAACAGGCTGTCTTTGGACTCCATGCTAGTGAGAAATTGGATAAACAGAGAGAATGGCACATCAAGTTCCTCAGTGCTTCAAATCGGACCCATTGGCTCCTTCTGAGACCAGGAAGGAATAGTCGAGAAGCAGGCTTACATCAGGCCCCAGGAGTAACACATCCAAGAAGAAGCCAGCCTAGTTGAGAGAAAGCTGTCTGCTTGCTAGTAGCTGGACTTTCCTGTTTTTCAGGATATCCTCCAGCATTCTGGCTATATCTTACTAAGAAGTTAGCGATAGGAGCTGGGTGCCCTTTGGCAGACAAAACTCACACATATCCCTTGCCTTGGATTTGCCTTTCTAAGTTCTAAGGATTTGTTCATATATACTTACTGATAATGATCCTTTGTTTAGGGTCTTGGAGGAGTGGACAAGAGTTCCTTTGGACTAGCTCCTCTCTGCCTTTAAAAACTTGAAAATACATGAGCAAGGGTAACACAGTAATGGAAAAAGTGGAGAAGAGAATTAGAAGTGAGAATGTGACTTAGCCGGTAGCCCTACATGGCACTGAAGGATAAGCACAGTACAACAAACCGCAAGGCTGTTGGTTCAAACCCAAATACTGCTCCTTGGAAACCCTATACCAGGTCACTATGAGCTGACCTGACTCAATGGAACTTAACAACAACAACATGAAAAGACAAAGACTCCTAATGTCTATATAATATATCTCTTCTTGATGTCTAAGAACATAGCCTTACATACCTCGGTTTCTTTTTCTTTTCTCTGTCTGCCCTTTAAACTTCCATCCCATGAGTTTCTCTTGCTAATACTGCAGCAAAGAACTAAATGTACCATTGTCCCCAGAGTTGGACTCTTCTGTCTAATCACCTCACTGATCTCCAAAAGGCATCACTGATTCCGGTAATGAGCTACTCTACTGAATATACTGCATCAGCCTTCCCATTGGCCTTGGATTCCTGCATCGTCTTCACTTATTATCTTTTTTTTCTCATAGTTAAAAACTTTTTGTCACCACGTCTTTAGACTCCTATAAGTATTCCTATTTGTCTTTACACCTGAAGTTTTCACATCTCTCAGATACCTTCTTCCCATCTGATTACTTTTCACACCTAACTATGCATCATGCTGACCTTCTGTACTATTTTTTCCTGCATTCTTGTTAGATGTCAAGGAAATCCTTAGGCATTTCATACTTTTTATTGAAATAAACCCAAAGTCATCATTAAAGAGAAAGACACAGGCTGCAGAAGAAATCCTCAGTTGCAATCACAGGGAGACAAGGTAAAGAAGCGAAGTCTATAGGTAGAAGGAGGAAGAAAGAACAAAAGGAAAAGGTTCACATTTTTTACACGAGAAAACATTAACACGATTTTTCAGAATTCACTTGTGTGAATACATTGGATCAGTGACTGAAATTCCTATACAGAGAGTTCAAATCTTGAATCAGGGAGTTGGTAGTTCGAGTGAACAGTATATATACAATCATAGTAATTGTTTTGTCTTAAATAAAAATGTGACACAACCTTCATTCCATGCATTTAGTCAATTATTTATTCAGCAGACAGCATTTGTATTGAAGATTTATTGGTGGACAGGGGGACTAATCTGCAACTGACCACAGAGAAGACAATCTAGCATAGCCTTGTCTTCATTGAACTTACAGTCAGTCAAAGGGCATGCTTTTCACATTATTTTCCTAGAGTTCTATCAATAAATAACTTACCTAAAATTCCATGAGATCCTATTTTATTTGACCCCTTTTTATATGTAACCAGGAAAAGTTCAGCCATCACAGAGAACATACTTACTTTGTCATTGTTCCTCAAAACCAGTGGAACTTCATAAACTTCACAAGGAGTGTAGTTTTGAAATATAATTTCTGATGGAAAGGGTTGAAATAATGTCTGATCCAGGTCAACTCCTGAAAACTGAAGTTCAAAGAAGAAATTAATCATACTGTCACACAAGGCAAAAATGACTGGGGGAGGTAAGAAAACACTAGCGCAATCTATGGATTGTAATACTAATACCCTAAAAACAGAGGACACATTCAGAAATGGCTAAGCACTATAAACATTAATAATAGTCAAAACTAGTGATGATTCTATTTTTATCAACAACTTCTTTAGTACAAAAGAAAGTGAAAATTTTGGGCCTCAATTGAAAAAAAGAAACAAACAAAACAAAAGGCTAGTAAGAGCACCAACCCCAGACTTCCATTTCTGATCATGGTGAATGGGGTCATTTGAACTCAATTCTCTATGAAAATAACCAGAAAATCTGGATCGGTGAATAGCTGCCTGGAAGCACTAGAGAGTCAGCAAGACAGTGAAGAATTATAGCCAGACATCAGGACAAGACAGAGAACTGGGGTGGTAGATGGAGACTGGTGTGGAGGAAGGTGTTTGAGGAGTACAGAGTTGATCCCCTTACAGAGGATGTCTGAGATGCTGAGCAGCATTTCTGAAAGAATAGCAGAGTTAGGGACAGAGGGGTTGGAGTCCAAGGTATGTTCAGGGTAGGGACCTTGAAGGACTTCTCTCTCACTGGCCTCCAAAAGGAGGAATCACAGAATAAAGTTATACTGGTGGCTGACTAAGAGACTGCAAGAAGAGAACATTATCACTGGGTTCAAATAATTTATAAAATTCTTCCATTACAAAATTTTACAACTACAGGAACAACAGGGCTGGGATACATAGATTGAAACATGGTTAGACTGGGGGGAAGGGGGGATAATGTTAGGATGCTTGGCTGTCTTCTGAATCTTGGTTTTCCTTGCATTACATTATAAAATAGACACTGGAAGGGGAGAAGAAGGAAAAGCCAGAAATATCACCATAGAAAGCTTGTAAGTCCGTCTTCTGCCTATAACTGACTGGAATACCTAAAATGGGGATACAATGTGCCCAGTGAAGGAGGCTACCTGTGGAGCCTCTACATTACATAAGATCATAGGTGGAATCATAAACA